GCCCAAGGACGGGGACAAGGAGGGCAGGAGCCCCAGCAAGGTGGGACCCCAAACCACCCCAAAACCACCCCAAAACCACCCCCAAAACCCCCCCCAAAACCACTCCAAAATTCACTCCAGAAACGCCCCCAAACTCCCCCCAAAAAGCCTCTCAAACCACTCCAAAAAATGCCGCAAAACACCCCCAAACCCACCCCAGGGATCCCCCAAAACCACCCCGGGACCCCCAAAATACCCCCAAACAAACGGGATTTGGGAACTCAATTAAAGGAACCCTGAAGGGGGTGTGGCATTTTCTGGCTCCTCCCACTCAGGGGTGTGGTCAGCTCTGGCCCCACCCCCGGGTTATTCAAAAGCTCCTCCCCTTTTGCCCTTATATGGTGTTGGTTTGGCTCCTCCCCTCGGGGGCGTGTCCTGGCTGCCCCCACCCCTTTGTGGGCGTGTCCCAGGCTGCCCCACCCCTTTGTGGGCGTGTCCCCGTCTGACCCCGCCCCTTTCAGCGGGAGAAGGACCACATCCGGCGGCCCATGAACGCCTTCATGATCTTCAGCAAGAGGCACCGGGCCCTGGTGCACCAGAGACACCCCAACCAGGACAACAGGACCGTCAGCAAGATCCTGGGAGAGTGGTGGTACGCCCTGGGACCCAGGGAGAAACAGCAGTACCACGACCTGGCCTTCCAGGTGGGAATTCCGGGGGAATTCCAGGGATCTCGGGGGTCCTGGAGGGGATCTGGTGGGAATTCGGGGGTCCTGGAGGGGGTTTGGGGGGTCCTGGGAGAGTGGTGGTACGCGCTGGGACCCAGGGAGAAACAGCAGTACCACGAGCTGGCCTTCCAGGGGGGAATTCCGGGGATTTGGGGGGGCCCAGGTGGGAATTGACGGGATTTGAGGTGTCCTGGAATTCCCAGTTGGATTTGAGGGGTTCCTGGCTGGATTTGGGGGGTTCCCAGTTGGATTTGGGGGGTTCCCAGTTGGATTTGGGGGGTTCCCAGTGGGATTTAGGGGGTTCCCAGTGGGATTTGGGGGGTTCCCAGTTGGATTTAGGGGGTTCCCAGTTGGATTTGGGGGGTTCCCGTTTGGATTTGGGGGGTTCTGACCCCATTTTTCCCCCCCCAGGTGAAGGAGGCCCATTTCAAGGCTCATCCCGACTGGA